ACACACACACACACTTTGTTTTTCTCAACGAAGTTCTTTAGAACTCAAATTTCTTTCATCTATCAAAGAGATAATGCATCTTCTTGTTCTAGCAAAAGTAAAACTGTCATGGTTATCAAAGTGTTATCGATTTACTACTACACCAATTCTAGCCACCTTGATATGGCCCTTCTTCTTGAAAGTTATGTTGAATTTGAGACCAATCCAAGACATTGTCGGGACCATGGTTCATGATTCAAGACTTTTCATCTTTCAGTTGAGCAGAATCATCACTTTACAAGATGATAATGAAGGAGAAAGAAGATGGGGTCGATTTCGCCGACTGGTTTATGACAGGTTGGTTGATGCTGGGAGGTCCATGGCTTTTGTAAACGATGAACATAGCTTGCATACTCTTTCAATGGTGGCTCTCTGAAATAGGATCTGAAGGGTGCTTCACATCTACTATTACATGTAATAACCACTGTTTGTATTGAACAAATATTGAATGCAAATGATTTATTAGCTTTTTGGAGACATTAATATTGGATGATGTGGCAAACAATCTAGTGTAGAATAGTCGTCGTTTCTCTATGAATTGAGATGTTTATTTCAGTTCTCTAAACTCATTATAATTCTTTACATCGAAGAAAATCATGAACTTATTGTAATTTTGTTACTAAATTCATAAACTTTACTTAAAAATACTTCAATATCTTATTGTTAAATAACGACATATTTGAGTGATTTTATCTAATATAATATACTCTTGCTGATTATGTATTGTGATACTTATTAATATATAATTAACTAATACCTAATAAAAGCGCCAAAATGGATGAACAGTAATATTTTCTTCAATGTTATGGTGAAGTAATAATTAATTATAAAATATGATTTTTGTTCACAATACAAAATGACAAACTAGATGTGGACCTATACATGACAAAAACCTCAGTGGACTCTCTTACACAAGGTTTATCAGTACTATCGATGATAATGATGTTCCAAAACCATCCACGTGATCAATGTAATTCAGTTTATGTAAGTCAGTTAAGGGTTGTTTGATATGTCTCTTACTTGGTAGGGTTGTGTCAGTCAAACCTTGACTCAGTCAGAATTGACTCGGTCAGCAATTATCAAACATCCCTTTATTTTTCAATACTAAAGTGAACACGTAACTAATTTCATATTTGAAGATGACTTTTTGAGTCTCCTCTAATGATGTAAATTGGAACACTCGATTAAATAAATTGTATAAAAGATGACATTTTATTGTGTGCAATAATTAGAACTCAAAACACACACACACACAAACACATTGTAGTAAAATTTATGATATGATGACAAAAAAACATGAAACGAGAAGTAAAAAATTGAATGATTTCAACGCCTGTCACCGGCAACGGAATCGGAATTGAAAAGGTATTTGACACGCGATAGAACGGAATCATGGGCAGGATCATACGGGTGGTCTTTTGAAGGAATCTCCAAAATCGCTGGAATTGGGTTGTTGTAGCTATCCACTACAAACCGTATCATATTTGCAACCTGTGCAACAATATAAATAACAATGTACTTTCATTTATTTGTTTATTATAGCATCATAGTTTCATTTATTCCTAATATAGAAAAAGTAAAATGTCCTTTATAAGAAAAACATCGAAAGCAAAGCACAATGTTGTAATACACAAATAAATGAAACTTTGTTGCTTTTTTTTTGGGTTAATATCATAAAAGACTTTATATATTGAGTTTTTTTGTTCCGTATTAAACCTCAATTTTATTTTATTTTTCCTGAAAAAGACCTTGTGGTTTTTCATTTTTTCGGAAAAATCCCTCAATTTTTTATTTTTTTTTCAGAAAAAATCCTCAACCTTTTAATTTTTTCCAAAAAAAACCCTCAATATTTTATATTTTTTCCAAAAAAAACCCCCAAATTTTACAAGTTTTTTCAAAGGGTTAATCTCATAAAAGACCTTACATTTTGTGTTTTTTCCAGATCAAACCTCAAATTTATTTTTTGCCTGAAAAAGACCTGTACTTTTTCATTTTTTCCGATCTGGCCCTTTTAGTCATTTTTTTTCCAAAAAAAATTGTAAAATGTGAGGGTTTTTTTGAGAAAAACTAAAAAAGTTGAGAGTTTATTTGGAAGCATTTAGAAGGTTGAAGGTTTTTTTCGGAAAAAAAATACAAAGTTGAGGGCTTTTTCGGAAAAAATGAAAAAATACAAGGTCTTTTTTACGCAAAAATTTATTTGAGGTTTAATCCGAAAAAAACACAAAATATAAGGTTTTTTATGAGATTAACCTTTTTGGAAGATAACTACTAAAAGGGCCAAATCGTAAAAAATGGAAAAATGCAAGGTCTTTTTCAGGAAAAAAAATAAAGTTGAGGTTTAATGCGGAAAAACACAAAATATAAGGTCTTTTATGATATTAACCTTTTTTTCCATTTAGCCATTCTTTAAGAAAGTTGGAGAAAGGAAGCTTTCAACATTAAGTCCTAACTCTTTACAAATTTGCCCTCATTAACTATTTCCTTCAATTTTATCAAAAGTTTATAAACTATCATTATCTCAAATATCTTTAAGAATCATTATGATTACTTACATATTGACTGATCAAGACAATTGCTACATCATCTCTTGTGGTGAATTCCTTAAAAGCATCTTCAATTTGTTTGACAGTTGTCTCTGAAACAAAATAAAACAACATTTATGCATATTATGACTTATGTCAACACTGCATAAAAAAATGGCATCTAGAAACTTGATGAAAAATTCTAAGGAACAAATAATATACTTGAATCCACAATCATGTAATTTGTCTTCCTCCTTATGTCAACATTGCCCTACTCCAGCAAGTAAAAATCCAGTTATGGTGTCCTACATCAGATATATAAACTATTATTACAAGAATATAGAAAAGTATCAAGCTTTAAATGAATAAGAATAAGATATCACTTGAGTGACAGTTTTAGTAAAATGATTAGAGAAGTAGTAAGTAAAATACAGATTTTACAGAAGCAAAAATGAATACACACATCAATTAGAAAACAGTTATTACCTCATCAGCAATCATAGCAATAAGTGCTGAGTTGTTAGTAGGGATTTGAGCTCGGTTTGCCATTTCAGAAACAAGATAAAACTGCAGAAAAAAATGTATGTTAACTCAGTAGCTGATAAACCAATAGTTGGTAATTTACAATCTTTCTTTTATCATACAATCTTTATTCTTTAGGTATAATGTATTTATTAATCCAACAATATTGACATTATGCATAACTTGAATTCAAATATAAATTGGACAAGATATCATGTCTTTCTTAAACAAATAGTTCAATATGCTACCCCACTATCATTGACTATCAAAGAAATTAGGGCCAAATCTAACAGTAGAATGTTTATGACAATTAAGGCCTCATTTGAAAGCCAGCAACAGTAATACTTAGGGTCATAATGATTAGATATAATCAACGATCATGTCATGATCTGATTTTGATTCTGCAATTCAGAATAATCACTTTGAAACCTCACATTCAAAGACGAATTCTACACTAAAAGATCAGTGTAATCCGATGCTTATAGATATAAAATCTAGGAAACACGGATCAGCATTCAAATTTTAGGGTTCCTATGTTGAACTTGATCCCGTAGCCTAAATCTGAAGTATGCAAGCAAAATAAGCATGTTTTAGGTCGAAATGAAACGAAATCCAGATTGAACTCAATTGATAGCACTGTTGGTATATGCATACAGATTCAGATAACTCATTGGATCATACATGGATACAGAGGTCTTATTCGAAGCAGCTGAGAGAGAGAGAGAGAGAGAGAGAGAGAGAGATGATACCTATTGGCGATCGAGAAACAGAGAAGCAGGACACGATGATTTCGAACGATCGTAGCGATGAGATTCTATCTGGAACTTATATCGTGAGATATGAGAAAGATTATATTGATTGTAAATTCCTTTAATTTTTCGTCGACCGAAGCTCATTACGATATATTGATAAACTTAAAAAGTTAATTATATAAAGGGGAATTCATAATCTTCTAAAATCTAAACGAACTTTTCCAACAATTTTTTTTCAATTTTCGAAAAAATATTATTTTCCAAGGATTCATTTCAATTGTTCTTTAAATTTTAATTTTTTTTTTAAAGAAAAATCTAATGAAAATTCATTATGTTTAGGTCTTATAATCGATTTACTCTTTTATCTTTTTTTAATTAGTTAATTTACAAAAACCGATAATTGTATCCATTTTAACCATTTTACCCGGTAAACAGTGATCAATAAAATATAAAGACTTTTTTGTAAAATAAATCCAAAAATATAAGGATTTTTTTATTTGTCAGAAAAAATACCATAAGATAATACAATATATTAGACAAAAACAAGATAATAAGATAATATTAAAAATAATTAAAAATAATATATTAAAAAAAATCCTTATATTTATGCTTTATTTGTAAAAAAATCAGTATATTGTGTTTGTGATCGGTTTATGAGTTAAAAGAGTTAAAATGAATACAATTGTCGGTTTTTAAACCTTACTTGACTAAAAAAAAATAAAAGCTAAATCGATTAGAGGGCCTAAACATAAGGATTTTTTAGTATATTTTCCTATTTTTTTTTCTACAATTTTTTTCAAAGAATTCTCATTGTTTTTCAATTTAATATCCAACTGTTAAACCCCATATAGCTATATATAGATATATATATATATATATATATATATAGCTATATATATCATATATGAGGAGAGAGAGAGGAGAGCTAGGTTCATTTGTTTAAACTAATTATTGTGTTATTGTATGCATAAATGTGAGTCAATCAAATTAAATAAAAAATTAAATAATTAAATAAATAAATAAGGGTAATATAGTAATTTGTTTAGTAAACTACCAAAAATAATCCCTATAATTATGGTATTTGACTTTTAACCTAATTTCTCTAGTTTATAAAACCTACAAGTATTACGACAATGGAGATACCGTCGATGGCGGAGGACACAGGACTATTTCGGATTGGGGAAGAAGCTGAAGAAGGCAGAGGAAGAAGCGTTGGAGATTGCGAAGGAAGTAATTGAGTCAGCTGAGAAAAGAGTCGAAGCGGAGAGAGAGAAGAGAGAGATCGAGGCTACGTCGATCGTTAATGGAATATTAGGGATTGCGATCGTTACTGCGGTTTTACTTCCTTTGTCACTAACAGCGTATCGTCAAACCCAGACCTGAAACAATAAAGGTTAGTTTTCTTCCTATTAACGTGAAATTACTCATTGATTCGAGTTTAAATCGATTTTTAGTTATTTATGTATGTGCAATTGTTACTGTTCATCTGATTGTGTTCAAAATTTTAAAGCTATTTTACATCAATTTATGGGATAGCGATTTTTAGACACACACCCCAATACACTCACACACATATATAAACACCATCTTCATATCAGATAATCAATCATCAATTTTCTTTTTCCAAAATTTCACCTGTATACCCGCCCGCTGTTCTGAATCTCAGTTTCTCTCTAGATAACGCTTTAATCTATTGGTAACGTCTTTATCCTTTCAGTTTTTCCCATAGTTTTCGTTAGATTTACGTATGCTCTGTTTTTTTTCGTATGTGTTGATCTATTTCCTTGTTTTGGTGGAATTAATTTAACTTTCACGAGTTGAAATTCTTTGAGATGAAACAGAACTGTACCTTTGAAACCGATTCATATGTATATCAGTAACATCGAATTTTTTTCGTGACGAGATATACGTAATAGGTCCATGTTTGAATTGCGTGTAATTGTTTTTGTAGTGTATATGATCCAGTTAAACTCTTTATCCGTTTTGAAAGTTTAAGGGAAATTTTGTCCATAATTTTGATGTGGTGATTCTTAATCAGTAAATAGTTGAGATTAAAACATTAGGTAATCTAAAATACTATTGATTACTTGTTCAATCGGTGTATTTGCTCAACATCTGAATGGAACATTTTGGGGGAAAATATTTGTTTGCCAAAACGACCTGACCAGTTCAACCGTATGTTAGATAGTAATAGCAAAACTGCAAATTCACCCTTTTTCTTACCAAAATTGCTTGAAAATTGAGATACAATGGCTAACTAAATGAGATAGCATAGTTCCCACCTTAAAAACATTTTACTTAACTTGTTCTCTCTTGTAGCTGCAACAGATATCTATCCAACAAACATGATGAAGATTGGGAGAAGAGGAATTCATTATCTACACACATTAAACAGTGTTCCTAAGGATGTGATAGAGAAGGGTTAGAACCGAGTCATGGAGGCATCTCTTACACTCATTCGTGAGAGGGCAAAATTTAAGGTATGTCCATATTTCATTATGCATTTATAACTTAAGTTTTGACAATAAGTAATTTTATTTTTTATATATATTTTTTCAAGGGAGAGCTAGTTCGTGCATTAGGTGGTGCATTATGTAGTGATATATTGAAAGGGTTTGTAGAAATCTTAAAGAACACAAAAATAATTCTACGAGAATATTGCACACGAGGTGTCTGTAGAAATGTCTGAAAGAGAACTTGATGTTCAAATTCTTGAAGAACACAAAAATAATTTATAAGTTCGTTATTTTGTGTTACTTGATTTTATCTTGTTGTATGAGTTCTCTTAGAATTACTAAAATTTGTTTTATTTTTGTCGTATAAAAGCATTCTCACATAGTTTTATTCTTACATAATTCATTTTCATGACAGTTATTCTCATAGAATGAAGGAAGTACATGATGATCAATGACTCGAAGGTTGGATGAATGCGTTTGGGATAGACATGAACAATCCTCAATGGTCACCGATCATCCATAAAAATGCACTACTCATTGTCATATTCTGTTAGATTAATATATAATAGAATGATAAGAGTATATGTAATAGTATATTCCAATAGAATAATCTACATATTATATTTGTTTGTTATTAGGGAGTGTTTCATTATTATAGAATAAAATATAAACTTTTTTATTTTTTCAAGGATGTGATAGAAAAAATTTAACTTGTATCTAAAAATTTGTTTATTCTGCGAGAAGTAAGTCTCTTTATTAGTTTATGACTTGAATTTTCATATAATATCATTATAAAAAGAATGTCATTCTGACAGAATAAAATCGGGTTTAATTATAAAAATTACGTTATAATTAAAATTAAAGTAATTAAAAAAATTATAATTTTAAAATCAAGAGAGTTAATTATCCCAAAAATATGGGAATTTTCCTTTTTTAAAATTATCTCATTTGTCTAAATACCCTTAGAATGAAATTAGATGGTATTTTTCAATTATTATCTTAATTTAATAATATGTATAATCACTTTCTTAAAATAAGTAAAATGATTGGCCCACATTTATGCATACAATAACACAATAATTACTTTGAATAGAATAACCTAAGCCTATATATATAATAGATATATATATATTATATAATATATTATATATATATATTTCTTATTTATTGTACTATCTTAAAAAATAATAAACTGCATCATCTTAATGTTTGACACTATTTATCCACATAGAAAGAAATTTAAGATCCAAGACTTTTAACACTTAATTGAAAATTTGTTCAACAACATCTAAACAACTTAACAAAATTTGTATTATTATACCTTAATATAATTTTAATGATTATGCCTTTTTTGGACACCCCTATCGTTCTTCTAATTTTCTCTATAATATATCTTTCATGCGAAGATATGATGAACAACCTAGAAATTACAATTATCTATTGTGCTTGCTTTGTCCTTCTCAAACTTTATCCTCATTTTCTCACTTTTTTCTTTTTAAATTATATTGCATCAGCACAAAGGATACCTATGCTGGCATATGTTCACATAGTTTAAACCAATTTATCTATAAATAAATTGATTTCAACTTATATTTTTATAGTTGATGGATCAAAGTTCACAATATATTTAAATATATACAACGTACTAATCATATTAGTAGAAAAAAAAATTGATTATTACCATGACAATATAACTTTGTATAATAATATTAGCCTTGCTAAATTTGTTTTTATCCATGATTAAAGATAGTCATTCTAATGGTTCCCTTTAAAAAAAAAAAACAAATAATTATTCTGATGGTTTCCGTTAGAGCACTAGGTGTGGGCAACTAGATGTAACACCATTTTGGTGCCACATCACATGTCACATCATTAATGGTGTTATAACACCAAGTGGGGAAATGGTCACCATGTTGTATTTTGTTATGACACCAACTTTTTTTTCCATTTTATAATTTATTTTTTATTTTTTTTCGAATTTTTTATTTTTTTAATTTAGACAAATATTTTTTAAATATAACATAATAAATAAAACATAATGTTTAAAAATTATAAATAACATATAATAATTTTTAAAGATTAAAATTAACATAGAGATTAAATTACACATAACATCTAAATTCAAAAAAAAAAAATAACATCCAATTCAAAAAAAAAAAAAATACAACGCTATTCGTTATCGTTATTGTTACCATAGAAGATATAATCCGTCAAGTCCTCTCGAAGTTGTCTGTGTTTATTTGCGTCCTGAATGTCAACAACGCGATGCAAATAATCTGTTGTTCCTGGTTGAAATTGAATGTGCCTGGGCTCCGTTGGGATATAGTGTGCAATATTTCGCCCTTTATCTTCTACTACCATGTTATGCATTATGATACATGCATACATGATATATCGTAGAGTTTCTAAATCCAATGGTCGTGCTGCATGTTCGACTATATGTCACTTCGCCTTCAACACTCCAAAAGCACGTTCCACATCCTTACGTGCTCCTTCTTGTCTTCTCTTAAAAAATTTGTCTCGTTCTTCAACCGGGTGGCGGAACGCCTTCACGAATGTAGAATACTGAGGATATATTCCATCTGTAAGGTAATATCCATATTTGTATTCGTTTCCATTCACTGTGAAAGGAGCATCCAGGGCCTTTCCATTCAAAAGATCGTCGAATATTGGCGACTGATCAAGAACGTTGACGTCGTTGTTGGAACCCGCAACCCCAAAAAATGCATGCCAAATCCATAAATCTTGAGAAGCAACAACCTCTAAAACCAACGAAGGTGATCCGTGATGACCACTTGCGTATTGCCCTTTCCATGCTACCGGACAATTTTTCCATTTCCAGTGTGTGCCATCAATGCTTCCGATCATTCCGGGAAACTCATGGCGTTCTTCATGCGCTGCATACAATTCTTGCAAATCATGCAACGAAGGTTTCCGCAAATACACGTCTCCAAATGTTTCAACAACACCCCTTGACAATGTATACAAACTCTCCCTTGCGGTTCTTTCGGACATTCTCATATAGTCGTCCATGGTGTCGGGTGATTCCCCCATTGATGGCCGCAGCACATTTCTGCAAAGTTGCAAAGTTGGTGGTGGGAGGTGACTTTAACATCACTAGAAAGAGAAAGAGTTATATATACATATATAGTTCAAGAAGAATACAACCCTATCATGATATCGTCAAAAAACAATCTAAACATATCAAAAAACAGATACCACCACTTCATTTATCCAAACCATGTATCATTGCAAAATATAGTAGATTGTTTCTCGATTTCCTCCGCCCGTGATTTTTTCCCGATTTAGGTTTCCACATAAAAACTTGTGCCTCTTTTATTTACTGACTTTAATATACTTGGTGTTCGATTAAGCTTGATATATTAATTCCATTATAAGTCGAACTAATATTATTCTAAATTGATTCAGATTCTTGGGACGTGTTACACACACTCACTACAGTCTTTATAATATGAATAAAAATTGCAGACATTCATGTCTTTTACACAGATAAAAGATCCAGAGACACACACACACTGTGTCACTGTCCCACCTTTCACTTTTTAGGGAGGGGTAAAAAATGGCAATTTTTGTCGCATTATTATCAGTGTGAGTCTCATTCCAATATATGTCAAATACAGTAAAAAAAACTTTATACTTGTTGTCATGTTCTGTCATGTCAAGAGTCATGTTCTACAGCTTAAGCCAACAAATGGGGTTCCTTTCTTGGCCTCAAAAGAAAAATACAAAGTCATGAACACAGGCCCATATAAGAAAAGGTCAATTTTAAAATGTCAAAACAACTTTATTTTCTTCACAATCTCATAAAAGAACAATATAGCGAAATTAAAGAAAAGATTATCACATTATACAGCAGTTCTGTTGAGAATCAGCCATATCAGGTGACCTGCATGATGCCAAGAAATCATAAAATCAGATTGACATTAAATAAAACCATAAGTCAAAATTCATACATTCACAATTCAAAATGAACATTATGCATCCTAATTTGTTATTTTGTACTATTGATCATACATTTTGTGCAGAAGTTGAAATGATTTAATAAATTGTATAAAAAGCAAGAAATGAAGACTGAAGAGAAGAACTCACAGTTGACCAAGAGCTGAGATATCAAAATCAGGAGCGAGCTCTTTGACTATATCATTTGGGGGTTGACCACATTCTTGCATCTTTTGCATGAGTTCAATGATCTTGTTGAAATTATCAGGCTCAGTGTCATAAACAATATTTAAATCTTTTATGAGCTCATGTTGATGAAAATATCGATCATATTCTTCTTTGCTTAATTTGGATTTATTGTCTTGTAGCCATTTTGGGTATCTTTCTCCAATTTCTTTCATGGGTTCATGAAGAACTTCTTTAGACAAAAGTTGCTGCATCATTGTCTCTACTAAAGACTCCATATCCTTCACAACAAGAAAACAATATTTAGTGGTTAATAATTAAATATAATATTAAGCATATAATGAAAGTATTGAAGATCATAAAAAGTACCTGGCCTTTAGCAAGTTCTTCAAACTGTTTGACCAAATCCTCCATCATTTTATCATCTCCCAAACCATCAATGGGACCCGATTTCAAACCCGCAATAGATTCCAAACCCTTAACAGTTTCCCTAGTTTGTTCTCTCAACTTATCAAGAGTCTCAGAAGCATGCGACACTTTTGGTGACACTTTTTGCTTTCCTTTGTTCTTGCTTCTTAAATCAGGCAAACCCATCCCTAATCCTTGAACCCCACTTGGCATTAGAGATGCCTCTCCTTTGTTCCCTTCATCATCCTTACTTTTATCACCCAAAAAAAAAAACAAAGTATTATAGCTCAAACCACATGGAAAAGCTTCAATAGGTTCAGAATCAACCAAAACAACGTAGTTTTGAGGCTTTTTTGAACAAAAAAGAGGTAAGTGTAATGCTTTTATATGAATTTACAACCCACAATTTGTCCAAAATCTTTCTTATTGCCACAGATAACCAAGTATGATGATTCAAAATGTGAACCATTCGTAATATATGTTTTGAAATAGTAAATCTTGTGAACCAAATCAATGTTATAAGTGTTTCATAACTACTGCTATGTCACAAACCATAATCTTATACTGAAAATTGGTTGAAAATTGAATGTTAAGCAACAAATTAACTAGAAATAGAGATTGTTCTGATTTTGTTATCCCATCCTCTGTATTGAATATGAAAGGTACTTAGGTTTTACGAGAAAAGGCCAACCTAAGCAATTGAATTTCAATTCAATTTATCAAATTCACTTCCTGGGGTCATAATTGACCTCCGCCAGAGCGTGTAATCTCGATGATTTTAATCAAGATTCAAGAGTTAGGAATTGTTACGAACCTCTGAGACGAAGAAGATGCAAGATTTAGGGTCTGGAAATCATCCAAAGCGCCTAATTACATATGAACAAATAGAATCATTCAGCGTGAGTGATAAACCTCGATTACTTGAGTGATTTCAAGATGTCAAACAAAACACACAAAACACAAACGAAATTGGGGGAGAGAAGAGTGAACTTACTATCTAGAAGTTGGTCTAAATCATCTGAATGCTCAGCCATGATTATTTTGCCTTGAGTTTCTCTCTAGATAACACTTCTCCTGTCTCTAAAAAGTTGTAATGTGGTGTAGATTGAGAGAATTTGGGGAGAAAGGGCGAAATCTTTATTGGGAGAAAGTGTGACGTCGCCCGACGGGGGTAAAAGACAGGAGTCGGAGATGTGGTGGTTCTGAGCTACCCCGGCTGTGCAAAGGATGAAAATCAATGGCTCAGATTAACTTCTTTTTATATCTAAATTTTATTTTATTTTCAAGTTATTCGTATAGAACATATTTTTAATTAATTGTTTTTTATGTGTTTCAATATAAAAATGACAAAATTGCAAAAATGGTCCCTGTGTTATGTATTTTTTCTGAGGTTTGGTCCAAACCTCGACTTTTTTGGATTGGTAGTCCTTTTGGCCTAGTTTCGATGTATATTTGTCATCGGTAAACTGAAATGACTATGCAAGCCCCTCATGTATTTATTTTTCATTTTTCTTTCATTTTCTTAATTTAATATATATAATTATCCATTTTAATAATTGATAAATAAAGAGAGGACCCACCTTCTCTCTCTCTCTCTCTCTCTCTCTCTCTCTCTCTTCTCTCCTCTCTCTCTCTCTCTCTCTCTCTCTCTCTCTCTCTCTCTCTCTCTCTCTCTCGTATGACTTTTTATTTATGCAAAAAATACAAACAATTAGGAACAAAAGTATACTAGAACAAATCCGTATCTGCAACTTCAAACAGAAAAAGATCTCTTACACACAAAATTCCTCAGATAAACCACAGTAGCCTCACATCTTTGAAGAGTTCAGATGTAAAAAACGAAGTGAGGGTTCAAGATTCACCATTTTTTTTCCGTTTGAATCACAATCTACAATCAACGATGACCAAACCCAACCCTTTGTCTACGTCTTCCTCCCCTGTAACCCAAATTCTTACATATTCAGGGGACGATGACACGATGGAAGTTCCATCCACACCTCCGGCGACGATCTCAACTTTATATTTCGATTTTGTTCCTTTCCCTTTCGTATTTCTCCACTGTAACCCAAACTCCAGATTTCGATTACAATTTTGTTCCCAAAGTCCATAGTTCGATTTAAATTTTGTTCCCAACTCAATATCACTTTACCAGCTATGTTTTACACCTCTTTAGGATACTATATGAGGTTTACCAGGTTGGATGTAGAGATGCAGGTAGGCATTTCCCAGATACCTTGATTTGTGCCCTTTAATGAGTTTTTTTGGATCTGGAACCTTTATTGATTGATTTTAGATATGGAATCGTGGGTTTTTTTTATCCAGTTTTAAAAGATGTTTGGATGATCAATTTAATGATGACAAGGGGGGTTTGGATGTGTTTTTCTGAAAATTCCCAGACCAAAGGCTTATGGGTCTTCAAGAACAATCGGTTTCTGAAAAATCGATTTTATGTTTGCTCTTCAAGTCAAACACACACGCATACAAACAATCGATTTTATGTTTGCTCTTCAAGAAAAAATGGATGTCTGGGTTTGCTTTTGGAACTAGAAATCAAATTCCGAATCTGAAAAAAGGCTTATGGGTCTTCAAGAACAACTGATTTCTGAAAAATCGATTTCGTATGTGTGTTTTATATCATTTATAGGGTTAGGGGTTAATGGAATCAAATAAATAACGGATGTCACTGAAAAATCGATAGTCAGCGGGGAAGAATTTGGAGTTCATCTTCTCAATTTAGAGTTCATCAGTGGGTGATGGTGCGGAGAATAGTTTTATCGATGAGAGAGAGATGATGAGTGAGAGTGAGGAGAGGTGAGTGGAGAGAGAGAGAGAGAGAGAGAGAGAGGAGAGAGAGAGACGAGAGAGAGAGAGAGAGGAGAGAGAGAGAGAGGGAGAGAGGAGTGGAGAGAGTGCGAGAGGGAGAGAGAGAGAGATGTGGGCCCAAGTTAATTAAGTATTTTCTTTTCATTTAAATTAAATAGAAAAAACATAAAAAAAAATCATAAGGGTATTACAGTCATTTCAGTTTACCGAGGGACCAAAAACGCAACGAAACTACCTCAAAATGACCACCAATCCAAAAAAGTCGTGGTTTGGACTAAAACCCCAAAAAATGCATACCACAGGAACCATTTTTGCAGTTTTGTCTATAAAAATTAGCAAAGTTGGTTTCAACAATTAGCATAAAAATGGTTGTTTTTTTTAATATATTGCTCGACTTGCGATTAATAAAACCATAATTTTTCGTCATTGGTTAGATTAGAAATACATGTCATTGTGAATTACCTAATGATTTTTGACAGGAGAATCTATAGATTAATAATCATTACGAAGAAATATTTACAATTTGATTAGGTTTGGTTGGTGACCCTTATTATTACAGGACATATGTAATGTTTTATATCACTCATTAAGGACATCAAATAACACATGTTATGTCTTATAAGAATCATTGTAACAACACTTTGACTAGAAACTAAAAAATTGTCTATTATGGATTTTCATTAGGTTTTTCATCAAATTTATCTTTTTAATAATCGAAGTTTTGGTCTAATATATACTTAGAGCTCATTTTTATTAATTCAAGAAAGTAATATATATTAGTGTCATGTAATATGAAATGTAACGATTATATGAATTTGTAGCATTTTAAAACATTTGATTCAACTTTGAGTTGATTCATAATACTAGTAGATCCATTAGTTTGAATTATAACGAAAGGAAAATTTTATATTAAATTACAAAATAATTTTAGGAAACCCTTTAACAAAAATCTTATTGATTTTTGGCTTCCTTAAACTTGGAGCATATAAGTTGTCATGTAAGTATTTCTTAGCAATAACTTGTTGGAAAAAAAAATTGTATTAACCGATTGTTAAACAACATTTCCATGTATGAAGCTTGGATGATTGTACTATTGCATCATAAGGTTAATTTGTTCAGGTATTAACTGATCGAGTGATTAGAGTTTTAGAAATTATACTCTAATTTTAACGCGCCAATATTTTTTTTGTTAATTATAGAGTATAATACACATGTGTTAAAGTCTTTAAAGTATGAGTATTGGTGGTTTTCATTTAATCGTATTTTGGTTAAATTTACTAGCTATTATGGAGTGCTTAAAGCAATCTGGCAATAATGATCTGCCACTAAATGCTAATGTTAGGACCGATGAGAGTATCCATGATTCCAAGGTCAAACATGATAAATAACAATCATATTTCATTAGCTAAAAGTGTCTTAAATGTCCTAAATTCCATCAAACAACAAAAGGTCAACTGCCTCTAATAGAGGCACATCTTTTCAACCAATGTACTCATTTTTTAACCACTAATAGCAACATACTTATTCTTTTTAACTAATTAATAGAAATATACTTATCATCTATGTTTAATGCTATATAGAAATTAGAATGAAATCATCAATTTGTCTTTTTTTTAATCGGTCAATCTGGCCAACAGATATGTGAAATCAACTTGCCTTTAACAGAGGCTAAGACATTAAGTTAATCGATTTAGACATTGGGCCACATTATGAGATTGTGCCTAGCTAGGCTGTTGTTGGTAGAAACGACACAGTGTAATGAAATGAGAAAGAGAGGTTTGAGAAAGTCAGACAGAAGAAGTAGAAAAAGCAATTAAAAGATAGGAACAAAAAGAGACCAAATAGGCTTATTATCATAATCCACCTATTTAGATATTTAATCAACTTATTACCTTATTTTAATTATACTTCTTCAAGTTACAATATTTTATTATAAGATGTATATGCAAGCACATCTTAAATCAATCAGAGTCAAATAGTGATTTCTTTCTAAACTTTGATTAAATAGTTGTGTTTGGAACCGGTTTTTGAGTATAAAATGTCTAACCTACGTAACTGCTTGTGGTCCGGATTATAACCCGATTTTAAGAAAATTTATTTTTGGGCTATAGGATTTTTTTTAGTTTTTTAATATATTAATATCAAAACTACTTCCCATCAATTCCTTGATAATGTCAAGAAATCAAAAGTTACCAGGATATAAAAAAACAAATAAATAAAACTGAAGGGTAAATTAGTAAGGTGTTGTTTGTTTTTTTTTTTTTTCTAAAAAACTACTTCTGGCCATTTATTGTTGCGCCGCGCAACACTTGACCCTTCACAACTGTTTGTTTTTTTAGAATACTTCTGACTTAAAAACTGCTGCGCGTGTGCTGCATGGCGCAACACTTGACTCTTTGCTTCAAACATGTTCACACCTTATTTTAACTTATTGCAGCTGTCTGCAGAGGTTAAAAAAAACAAACTTTTTATTATATGCTACAGCCGTTTCATCACCCTCTTCTGCTACAGCGGGTTGTAGAGGTGGTCCGTAGACTTCAGACATTTTCGCTTCGAAAAAACAAACGACACCTAAATGTTTTTATTGATAATCTACCAACGTACTTATATTTTTACCTAATTATAGAAACATACTTTTATTGGAATATACCAATATATATGATTGTTTTTCACTTAATATATAAAACTTGTCTTAATAAACTAGGTGATGATATTGACATTTTATGCTTTCAGATACCATTTTTCAAATTTACTATCATCTAGAACAATTCAAATATATGGAAATAAATCAGATGACGCACTTAGATTTTCGTAATGACAATAAGGTTACAAAGGGATCATGTGATTACCACAAAATTTCGTTTATAGAGAAAATAATATTCTAAGGGTCGTCTTGGTTTATTGTTTCGATGAAATATGTTCCTTTTGATCGAATATTGTGTCAAGTAAAGGTGTTGTTTGTTTTTTTAAGCAAAAATTCATTAAGTATATGCGGACTACCTCTGCAACCCTCTGCAGTAGAAGATGTGAACTAAACGGCTGCAGACTATAATAAGAAGCGTGTTTGTTTTTTTTAACATCATCATGCTGCTGCAGATATTAAAAATTTAAAATAAACTGATTTTATAAACCCAAAATAGTTTTTTAATACCAAAAATTTAATATTAATTGACATTCCAGCATGAATTTATGATATTTCAGCTAAAAATAATGATATTTCAACAAAAAATAAAGATATTTTAGCAAAAAGTAATGATATTTCATCAAGAAATTATCATTATTCAATATAAAAAAAAGTGAAAAAAAAATTCAACAATAATAAACAAAATAAAAGGTAAAATAAATTTTCAACATCATATAATCAAGATTTTAACAAGAAAAAAAAAGATGTTGGAAGAGGCAATACAAGTGCTGCGTCAAACAGAACACACACAAATGTTTTTTACTCCGAAGACTTCTAAAAAACAAACATCTGCAAGATGAAAATTGATGCGCATGAGCTGCGCTACGCAACAATAAAAGGTTTGAAGAAGTTTTTTACAAAAAACAAACAACACCTAATTTGACAAACATATAATATTAAAATTTTCATGTTTATTTGGTATTAGGACATTTCAGTGTTAGATTTATTATGTTCTTTGGGTTTTAATACCTTTAAATGTCAAGTATTGTTAATTAAGTGATAAGTCTATAAAAATCTACTTTTGGTCATTTGTTGGAATCTGTAACAATATAAATTTATTAGTATTATTGTAAATTCTAAACAAATTTACATTGTTTTTTGTTGTAGACGATGTAGTAGAAAAAAAATGGAAGCAAGATGTTGTTTTCGAAATCGGATAGTCACTATGTTATAATTTGAGTTCATACAAAACAATTATTTATTTATTTACCCAAATCGCATAAAAGAAAATTCAATAGTCAGTTTCCCTTTTACCAACTATAAAATCATGTTTTAATGTTTTTACCATATACTATGAAATGTTAGCCGATTGTTTAGAAGGTCACACTGCCACAAGCAGCATCGATAGAGAGCTCATCCAGAGCCCCGCAACGAATGGCTACGGCGGCGTTGTCGCCGGCGACGGTTTCTCTCCGCCTTAAACCTCTATCCTCCACCGTTCGCTTCTTGTCCTTATACCACCACCACCAACCAAAACCTATGAAACTGAAATACCCAATTATGCTCGCTCCCCTTCATCAACCGCCGCAACCCCGCGTCCACTTCAACTACTTTAACAACTCCACAGCTCACCGTAGATGCTTTTCTACCGTCGCATCCGCCACCGTATCGCCCGGAGAGGTCGTAGAGAAGTCCAAAACCGAATCTATCGAGGAACGAGTTGGGGAGTTTCGTAAACGGCTGAGAATTGTTGATATAAAAGGAGGGGAAAGCGAGGGTGTAGATAGATTAGGTCAAACGCTAACAGTTAAGGGCTGGGTTAGAACCCTTCGCATTCAGAGCAGTGTTACATTCATTGAGGTAATTGATATCATATATCTGTTCATAATGCTTATGAATCGATGATTTATTCATCTATTTTGAGTAGCCACTAGTGTATCTCCCATCTCAATATCTTTTGTACCGAATTTGTTTGATTGTAAGCAATAAGTGATATTAGAAGAGTTCATTCCAGCATTTTACTACCTCTATATGTTATGAATCCAAACCTATTACTTTTAGAATGCAAACTTGATGTTTTTTTTTTTGTTGCAAATTCTAACACTTATCTTGTCCTGTTTGTACTACATGTTATAAAGATTATATCCATAACGAGGTTTTGCATTCATTGCAGGTGAATGATGGTTCATGTCTATCAAACATGCAGTGTGTGATTGACTCAGATGCTGAAGGTTATGATCAGGTAACCCTAGTTACACTTCATTTCTTTTGAAATACATATACATATACGTATCAAGTTTATTTCAAAGGGCATTCCAATGTCAAAATGACCTTTTGTTATCAAATCTTGTTTCTTTTTAAAACTATGTTTGGGATGATATTACTTTTGTTTTGCTGATGTCATCAAAAAGAATAAATATTTTATTGTTCTTAATAGGTGGAGAGTGGTTTCATAGCAACTGGTGCCGCAGTTTGTGTACAAGGAGTTGTAGTACCTAGCCAAGGAAAGAAGCAAAAAATAGAGTTGAAGATTCACAAACTTGTTACAGTATAATTTTCACCTTTCAATGCATTTAAATTAAAACTTATTTAATGACTTATTGGTACAACGTATATTCTTATTGTTTTTCAAAATTGGGCATTTGGATGTATGAAAAAACCTTAGTATTGTCATTCTTTATGATTAACATTTGGAAGCCAACATTGAGGAACATATCAATAAAATGTTTATCATCTAATTTATTTTTATACATTTGTAGGTTGGAAAGAGTGATCCATCATTTCCTATTCAAAAGAAAAAAGTCACAAGAGAATTTTTAAGAAGCAAGGCGCATCTTCGCCCTAGGACAAATACTTTTGGTGCAGTATGTTTTATATATATATATATATATATATATATATATATATATACACACACACACACACACACACACTTACATATAGACAAATACGTGTATTTACATTTTGCTAAATTGATATTCCATTTGAATTTAGGTATCTAGGGTTAGGAATGCTTTGGCTTATGCTACACATAAATTCTTTCAAGAAAATGGATTTGTTTGGATTGCAAGTCCTATAATTACAGCTGCAGATTGTGAAGGTGCTGGTGAACAATTTTGTGTAACCACATTGGTATGTAGGCTTCTTTTAATTTATAATAAAATTCACTATATCTCCATTTTGTTTTTTTTTACAATTTTGTCCTTGATCTTTTATGTTGTGTTACCAGATACCAAGCTCGAAAGAAGCTATTGATTCTCCAGCCAGTTCCATCCCAAAGACAGAAAATGGCTTAATCGATTGGTCACAAGTGAGTAAATGACCATTTTGCCCTTCTGTTTTGATAAGAATGAGTTATTGCCTCTAACTATCTACAATGCTATTATTTGATTGCTCTCTATGTATGGGCTTTATATAAATTACATTATATTATTTTTGGATTTTAAATTTTATATGTTCCAATAATTGCATTTTGATTTCACAGGATTTTTTTGGAAAGCCTGCATTCTTGACAGTTTCTGGTCAACTCAATGCTGAAACATATGCAACTGCTCTTTCTGATGTATACTTTCTTCCTTCATTTGTTATTTAAACTTAAAAGAATCATTCAAAACATGATATTATTTTATAGTTTTTAAAAATATTTATACCATATTTCAGGTGTATACATTCGGTCCTACTTTTCGGGCAGAAAATTCCAACACTTCTAGACATTTGGCAGAATTTTGGGTCTTCTCTCATTTCCATAAATATTAGTGTTTCTATAAATTATAGAACTAAATAACTAAACAAGTGTTTTTTTTTTTTTTTTTTTTAATTTGTATTTCTGTGAAGATGATTGAGCCCGAGCTTGCATTTGCGGACCTGAATGATGACATGGCATGTGCCACTGCCTATCTCCAGTATGTCGTATGTTACTTTATCCACCCTTTATAGATACTAAATTACCTTGTTACCCCTCCTGAAAAAAAATGTTCCACTTTATACTTTTATAGTTCATGTCTTAAAAAATGGTATGAACTTTTTGACAATTTAGGTGAAACATGTTCTTGAAAATTGCAAAGAAGATATGGATTTCTTCAACAATTGGATTGAGAAAGGAATTATCGATCGTCTAAGTGTATGATTTTTTTTTTTTTTGGTTTAATTCATATTCATCATTCATCCCTCTACAAAATTACTGTATTGCCCCTGTGTAATTCTTGATTTTGTTCCACCAGGATGTGGTTGAGAAAAGCTTTGTGAGATTGACTTACACAGATGCAGTGGAATTGCTTTTGAAATCAAAGAAGAAATTCGAGTTTCAGGTATTTTCATTTTCTATCATACATTGAAATTTTTTACCCTATTATAGCATTATACTTTTTTTTCTTTATAAGACACTATTAAGTAAAATGATATAATAGGAAAAAAAATGAAAGTAGGTTGCTATTTTGTATAATAGGTGAAATGGGGATGTGATTTTGCAAAGTGAGCATGAACGTTACATAACCGAAGAGGCTTTCAATGGATGCCCTGTTATTATCACTGATTACCCAAAGGCATCATATTTTCCCTTATTTACCCTTTTGCAAAAATAATAATAAAAAAGTAACAACATTTTTTTTTTTTTAAATTATCAGGATATTAAGGCGTTCTACATGCGCCAAAATGACGATGGCAAGACTGTTGCAGCCATGGATCTACTTGTCCCACGGGTAATAATATTTATTATTCTTTTCTTTAGAGAAGTTTATAATTACGTATATTTAAAATACAAATGTTATTGTTTGATAATAATAATATTCGTTTTTTGTTGGTAGGTTGGTGAGCTTATTGGTGGAAGTCAAAGGGAAGAACGCCTTGATTATTTGGAAAATCGTTTGGATGAAATGAATCTGAATAAGGAGAGTTTTTGGTGGTATCTTGATCTTCGGCGTTATGGTACAGGTTAGTTGCATAAATTGCTAAAAATAATTGTCTATTTTTTGTTTGAATTATTATTATTTAGTTAGTGGTTTTGTTGTATTTCAGTTCCACATGCGGGTTTTGGTTTGGGTTTTGAGAGGCTTGTGCAATTTGCAACTGGAATCGACAACATTCGAGATACAATACCTTTCCCTCGAGCCCCTGGCTCAGCTGAATTTTAATATTTAATTTAATTTTTTTTACAATCAATACTTGTATCTTATGCTTTATCATATGTACATGCATGATTGATTATATCAGTTACATTGTTTTTATTTTGATTAATAAGATGATGAGAAAACTAATTCTATCACATTATTTGAACATTCAATACAAAATCTTTGGACCCACCCGTAAACTATACATTTATAATAATAAGCATTAAGCAACAAGAATCTATCTCTATACAATTGGTTATCAAAAAATAATGAATTCAATTTTGTTCTAAAGTTGAACCTCATGAAGATCCTCACTCATAAACCCATCGCCATTATTCCCCCGATTCCTTTGATTACAAAACCGTTGATCCATACTTCCTCCCCATGAAACTGTTCTTCGTGAACACGTGTTACTAGGAAACACAGGCATTCCCATTCCCATTCCCCCTTTTCCCAAATCATCCATGCTTCCAAATCTTTGCATTGATTGATAAGTTGGTGTTCGGAATGGAGGTGAATCGTTAATTTCATCAACACTTGTGGTTTTTTGTTGCGTGTTATTACCATGAAATGAGTTGGATTGTTGGGATGAAGGTACTGGAACGAAGAATTTAGGGTTTGATTTCGTGATGGGTTTTACAGACGTGGTGGGTGGTGATTGGAACGACTTTGTTGGGTTTCCACCACCTTGGTTGAATGTGTCCACGTATCTACATAAACAAAATCAAAAAATTCAAATATTACTTTTTAACTGAAAAACATTAAATATAATGCAAAGACATGAAAATTGAAATGATGACGTGGCAGTGTTGACTCACCTTGCACGTACACCCATTCTTCCACGTGCAGAAAATTGACCGGAGGAGGCGGGGATTGGCGGGATGCCGGAGCTGTGTCCTACGGTGGTGGTTCCGGTGGATAATTCCGAGCCACCGTTGCTGAGAGACCCTTCACTCTTGGCGGCGGTTTTGGGTGTTCCGTTTTGGAATGCCGCCATGGTTGGTGGTGGTGCAAGTGCCGCTTCTTCTGCTGGCGGATCAACACCTTCCTCCACCCATCTTTTTAGTTTGTCATCGTAAATAAAACTTGTTTGTCTCACCTAATTTCGCCTGAAATATATAAAAAATTTAATGCAGAATCATAAAAAAAAAAAAATAATAATAATAATAATAATAATAATAATACCTGTTTGTCTTGACGAGGTTTTAGAACTAAACTGAAAGTCTTTTGGAAAAGTTGTGACCCAAATCCAAATCGACCAAATCTTGAAGTAAATGATGAATTACTTTGTGAATCTGTAGAGTTTTCTTTTGATGAATCAACCTGATCCTACATAAATTAATTAATTTGTTTATTATGGAGTATATGATGGTATTTGTAAAATTAATTTGAATAAATAATTAATAATGACAACCTGGCGGGGAGAGCGACCAAAGTCAGGTTCAGAAACGCTTCTGTTATGCATGATTCTTCTGTTGTTTCCTTCTGCAGATTCCATGGATGCAGAAGGAACTAATGATGACATGGCCATGGTGGACTGACTGGCAGACACCCGAGGTTGATGATTATGATTATGATGATGTGGATGAGGATGGTGCTCGTTTTGTGCAGTGGGGCCCGATGTTGATGGGACAGGTGGCGGGAGTCCCCCAACTACACGGTGTGCTGTGCTGTCAAAAAGGTTGAGCAGTTTTCCAACTAATTTACCCGGAGCCAAGTTTGTAGAGAACCCACCCTGGTAAAAATAAAAATAATTAATGATGAAGTTACGTGACGAGGGTAAAATGGTCATTTTACCTGTTGGTGGGTTTTTATGCGATCTTCTAAGGATGAAACCATATGTCTCCATGTTTCTGCTTCAGGTGCTCGCCCAGTTTTTAAAGCTTTTGATATCGCTTGACAATACCTGAATTTTTATAAAAAAAAAAAAACTTTTGAGGAAAAAGAATAAGGAAACAATATTGTATTTTTTTTTTTTTTTTGTATGCCTACTTTAATGAGTCAGATACTCTTCCTACTTCAGCCAACATATTGGCATATATAAGCTTATACGGTTGAAATGGTAGCAAGGTAAACTGAGAGTTCCCCAAAAGCTTTGAATATTCATACACCTCTGTCCTCTGTCCACATTCACAACCAATAAGCTCTAATAGGAAGAAATAAAAGTAAATATAATAATGAAAAGTGGGGCCCACCTGAATGGCTTCTGGACAGGCATATGTTCTTGGATGCTTCCAGTGATCTGCACCAATCAGACACAGTCTAGCACTGTCTGAATAGGGCTCAAAGTTTGCTTCAGCAACTAAGTAGCAAATGTGTGCAGCAATAATCTGAATCATTTGTTATATATAATCACAAACTCATAACCAAATATGGGTATTATTAATTACTTAAAATGGAACTTACATTACTTGTTTCCTTCCATAAACAATCTCCAAGATGAATAAGCACCAATTCATCATCTTTGGTCCTGTTAGCAGTAATCATAGCCAAATTTTCTTCCCAATCATCAATCATAGCATTAGCTCCAAGTTGAGCCTACACAAAACAACAAAGTCAACAGCTCAATATTGGGTTGGGTTGACCCATAAATATAATCATATTATTATTATTATTACCTGTGATATATTTACAGCAGCAACAGTGGCACAATCTGTTGTAGAGTCAGTTGAAAATACATCTGCAGGTTGACCAGCAATAAGTAGACATAATGTCCTTAAAGGTGACCCTGCTACTAGCTGATGAACACCCATCTTCCTAACACAATCCACATAGAACTGCAATACACAAAATTTTAAATAAAATAAACATCTTTTTGCTTCCCTTCACTGTGTGTGTGTGTGTGTGTGTGTGTGTGAGAGAGAGAGAGAGAGAGAGAGAGAGAGAGAGAGAGAGAGAGAGAGAGAGAGAGAGAGAGAAACCTGATCACCAAGTTGTGCTGCAAGAACTAAGGCAATCCCCCATAATTGACCCTCTTGTGCACGTTGAAGAGCCTCTATCTTTCTACCATAAACTAGCAGAGTTTGGACTTCAGAAGCAGTTGCCTAAGAAAATAAAGACAAATCAATAAAAAAAAAAGATGATTTTTTTTTTTAATAATATGTGAATAAATGAAATAAGGTGAACACCCGAATTTGTCCTTCTGGTGGCAACTGTTGCAAGCAGTTAGCGAAAGCTCCATAATCACCATATTGAGAAGTGTCTTTCTTTGCAGATGCAAATAGTCTAGCAACCGCTACATCCGGGGCGTCGTTTTCCTGTTAAATTACGAAAATACCCTTGTTTGTTATTTGGTAAAACTGAAAAGTTTTCAGTGAAAATAATAAAAAGACGAAATTTTTACCTTTGATGTAGTGTCGGTGCCAAAAGGAGAACGTAATTTCCCGTAATGTTGTGAAGCTATTTTGAGTAAAGAAAGTAGAAGCTTTAAAACTTGATCTTTTTTATAATCCATGTCAGCAGGAGGGTGTGACTGTGTGATTCTCTCATCAATCCATCTATTCAGCTCTTTACCACCAACATTTCCACCAGCAAGTGGGCCAGGAAATGACTGGCGGCAAAGAGTGTGAAAGTAACCACATACGCGGGTCCCACCGGTTGCCATGTCACCACCTCCAGTCACAATTTCAGCCATGTTAAGAACAGAAATTGGCCCACCACTTGTATCCTTCATCACAATCAATTTCCCACCAAAACCAAAAGTAACCAAGGCATGAGGAGGTTGACCTGCAGATGACCTATTAGAGCCATAAGATCCATGATGTGAGTAGGTCAATTGGTTTTGACTTCCATACCCCTTGCCAGCATTCATCATCTCACTTTGCTCCATTGTTGTTGATTGACTGAAGTTCCCATAATCATAAGACTGTTGTTGTTGTTGTTGTTGTTGTTGTTGTTGATTGACATTGTTATTATCTACAGGAAAATTAGAGCTATACTGATTTTGTACATGTTGGTATCCAGTTGAACCTTGTTGTTCATTTCCATAATAACTATTACTTGATGAAAATTGATCACCTTGGTTTCCAGTGTTGGTGGTTGCTTGAGAATTATATGAATCCAAACAACGCCATTCTTGAAGATTCATGTCATAATACCAACCTGGATATTGAGGATCAAAATACATATGTGAAGGGTACCCGTTGTTTCCTTGTGATTGACTCTCATTAGTTTGACTAGTTTGTGAAACTGGACTCCAACTTGTTACACTTTCATTCATCCCTTTATCTGCTACCAAAGATTGGGAAGCTTGGTAATCAGAAGCAGAACTCAAAGTATCAACCCCTTGTGTGTTTGTTGTTGGATCATAACTTTGATCAACTTGATACCATTGTCCAGAATTGGTGTCATACTTCCATCCTGGATAAAGATTCTCCCAATATTGACTGGTGTTAAGATCTTGATTATCTGTAGTTTGTCCCCCGGATGTTGTATACAACTGCCCTTCTTGATATTGATGTGAATAATCATTACTTGAATTCACTTCATTGTTAATCAAGTTGCCTCCTTTTGACTGGTGAGTGGAATTATCTCCAAATTCTGTGAAGAAGTCAGAGTATGATCCAAATGAATTACTTGTGTTGTGTAGAGGATCAGTAGTGAAAGCACTCCACTGCACCTCTGTTGAATCAAATCGTTCCTCCATTCGTATTGCATTATTTGGTTCTTCATTTACAGAATTAAATGCAAAGGAAGAAGATGACACTAATGACTGACCAGGATCCACTTGATTGCTGGCTAATTCATCTATGAGACCTGAACTAATCGTGGAAGAAGCTTTATCATCTTCTGTAACTACTTTCTCTGATTCTTTGAGTGCATTTCTGCCATTATTGATGCTTGAATTAGCTTTAGCCTTATTAGAATCATTCACGGCTGAAGATGATGGAGTGGCCTTAAATTGATCATCAACATCATCGACCAATTTATCAAAGAAATCTTCATCAGTGTCCTCCATCTGTAATGGAGGATTAGAAACAAACCCTAGATAGCTTCTCGCGATCTCAAAATCAATCCATCCATTGCAGCAAAATTCGAGCTGATAACATTATATATACACATAAACGCCTCTAATCAATCTACGAAATTCCTGAATTATTATACATCAGATAGAGAAACGCGAGAGATAGGTCTAGGGTTTTACGGATCCCTAACCAATGGATCACACAAACACATATTGGCAGCAAAAAATTACCTTTGAACACTCTTAATCCATCAATATGAAGCGCATCGAATTTCAAAAATAATCATGAAGCAATTAATCTAGGGATCAAGACGCTAATCCGAAGGAAATCACAATACATTGAGAAATCTACATGTATAGAGAAGAAACAAGAGACATACCCAGAATTTCGCACCAGAGAACTAACAACCGATTAATTGCTTATTTATGTAGCGAAGTTTAGTCATTTTCCCGGTTTACACAATTATGTTATTATTTTTTCGATTTTTTTTGAAAATATCACACGATTGTTCCTTGTTATGTCAAAATAGACCCGGGTTTAGATGGTTTAATCAGGCACAATGACATAAAAATCTAATGTTGGTTTTAGTTACGGTAAAATAGTTTTCATTTTTCAGTTTTTGTTTTTTGTTTTCAGTTTTTATTGAAAAATTTAGAAAACGCGTTTAGTTAAAATTTATTTATTTTTCATTTTTCAGTTTTAAAAAATTAGAAAACGCATTTAGATATGTATATTTCTATCGGTATTCATTTTTAGAAAACGGTAGCGGTGGTAGGATAGGGATGGGGGCAGCGGCGGGGGGCAGTGGTGGTGTTGATGATGGCGACGGTGGTGGTGATGGTGGTGGTTGTAGCGACGGTGGTGATGACAGGCAATGGTGGTGGCGGCGGTGGTGGTGGTGATTGCGGCGGTGGTGGTGATGCTGGTGATAGGGTAGTGGTGGTGGTGATGGTGATGGTGATGGTGATGGTAGGTCGGTGATTGTGGTAGTAGTGTTGGGTGGGTGGATGTGTGTGTATGTTTATAGGGGTGAGGGGTGAGGGTGGGTGTGTGTGTGTGTTTGTATGTGTGTGTGGTGGTTGGGGGGGGGGGGTGTAGGTGTGAGTGGGGGTTGGGGTGGGTGTGTATTTGTGTGTGTGTGTGTTTGTGGGGGTGGGGGTAGCTTTGTGTTTGTGGATGTGTGTGTGTGTGCGTGTTTGTGGGGGGTGTGGGTGGGGGTTGGGGTGGGTGTTTGTTTGTGTGTGTGTGGGGGGGGGGGAGGTGTGTGTGTGTGTGTGTGGGTGCGTGTGTTTGTGGGGGTGGGATTGGAAGTGGGTGGGTGTGGGTAAGTAGGGGTGTGGTGGGTTGGAGGTGTAGAGGTGGGAGTGAGTGTGTTTATATTTTAGAAAAATTTGGAAAACAATAATTATTGGTTTTCCAAAAATTTCCAACTTCTTTGTAATTTTAGAAAACGGAAAATTTTCATTTTCCGTGAAAAATTTAGAAAAATAGACGAACTAAACGCGTTTTCGAAATTCTCATTTTTCTTGAAATTTTTTTCCGGAAAACAGCCCATTTTTCCGCAACTAAACGCACCCTAAGTCTTTAAGTTTTTGTTGGTTTTATCACAGGAGGTTCATTAAAATCGGATATTTATAACTTTTTTTTTCCAAGTTTACCCTCTGGTTTATTAAAGTCTTTGCATTTGGCATAAACGTTCGGTTTTGCCCTTTTTTTTCTGGTTCATAAAAGCCCTTAAGTTTGATTTTTTTTTTCATTAAAACCCTTAAGTTTGGCCAAAAAAATTTAGTTTACCAGATAAATTTACAAAAAATGGTAAAATAAAAAAAAAAGTTTCAAATTTGAGACATTAACGGACCTAAACCACGACTTTGGGTAAAATCGACAAAAACTTGCAAACTTAAAGGTTTTTATGACATTTGTCATTTAATTTATTGTTAGGTTGTTCCTTTCTACTTAAAATGATATTTATATTTTTTTAAATTTAATTTAGTTTTTCTGTAATTAGCTTTTATATTATATATATTTTTTTGAACCGGCAAATCTAATCTACTCCTAAACTAATAACACCTATTTCACCTATGTCCACGATGGAACTTGAACCCTCGATCTCAAAGAGGGAGGACACCACCTAATATCGCTGGACTACAAGCCCTTTGGTAGCTTTTATATTATTAAATTAGAAAATGACCCTATCCCACCCACCACCAATAGTCGCCGCTACCACCGACAATGACGCCTCCGCCTACTGCTATCTTGTCGAACGTTTTAAAATATTTCTTTCTTGTTGAGTATGGATACCAAAGTTGTATAAGAACCACGATTTGGATCATTGGTACCATAAAACACCATATGGGCTTCTTCAAACACATACTTTCTTGAATTGATTTCAAACTCATAACACATACAACACACATAAACTTAATTTCAGTTTCACATATATACATACCTTTCTGAATTAATTTCAATCCCATAACACACAAGAACACGAGTTCAAATTCACACACGTACATAAATTCTTGAATTGATTTCAAACCCACAACATACACATAAACACGAGTTTATATATATATATATATATATATATATATATATATATATATATATATATTCTTGAATTGATTTCAAACCCACAACACACACGTTAACACGATGGGTGAGGATGATAAAGTTATTGTAGCAAAGAAGGATGGAGAAGGTGAAGATGTTGAAGTTGATTTGGATTTAGAGAAACCAATAAAAGATTTTTTAAATAAAAAATAAAGATGGAGGTAATTAAATTATAATTATTGTTTATTCATATATGACTGTGTTTATAATTATTGTTTATTCATATATGATTTTTATAATTTTATTGGGGTAGAAACTGTTGAAGATGGTTTATAAATTATACAATTGAAGGATTCAAAGGAGACTCAATCACTGAAAAAGGACAAAGTGGAAGGGAAAGTTGAGAAGTTTTCTGTTCCAAGTTTTAGTCTTGGATTTAGTCAAGATTCTGAAGGTTCCAAGAAGTCATCTCAAAGTCAAAGTTCTTCTGAACGGATGACAAAGAAAAAGATTAAGGATAGAGTTTATTTGAAGAAACCAAGTGTTGGTCCAGAGTGTGTTATTCCAAATGTTGATGTTATTGATGCTAGTTTAGTTTCTTTTGCACCCCCTTTGGGTACATTAGAAGGACTATCAAAAGCAATTTCTATCAAACCTAAAGATATAAATGAAGAAGGAACATCAGTTTTAGATGTCAAAGGAAAAAAGAGAAATGAAATTTTCTTATGTTTATAAGTCACCTTTTAAGAAAAGGTTAATTGATTTTAAACCAAGTTTGACACAAGTAGAAAATGTTGTTTGTGAATGGCTTTTCAGCCTTCAAGGAAATCCAGGGTAATTTTTTCAAATATAATTTTTTTATTTTTATAATTATAATTTTTTTATTTTTAATGACATTTAAATAAATATATACAGGGATATTCTCTTGCTTATGGAAACAGATGTTATGGGTTTTAGAGCTAATTATGAAAGTCTTTATAAAAAAAACCTATTTGCATGTAAGTGTTCTTGATTTATGGTCTCGTATGCTAAATCATGAAGAGAAATTCAGAGATGTTGTTAATTCTCCACTCAGATTGTTCATGAATGTGGACACTGTAAGTTTTTATTTTGTTATTTTCTTTTTATATTTTTATAATCATTTTATTATATAATCATTTCTGATTTTTTATATTCCAGACTTTGTCATTTGAATATAATCATTTGAATGAAACTGGAAAATATAAAGTTTTCAAGGAGAACTTCTTTCGCAGTGTTTCTGGTGATAGAGACTTGAAGGTTTTGACGGATGTTGATATGGTATATTTAGTTTTTTTATACATTTATATATATTTATTAATTTTTTTTTCTAATATTATACATGTTGATGTTATGTATTTTTCTCTGTTTTGAGGCAAAAGCACATATATGTTATTGTTATCAATCTGAAGAAACGTGCTTTTGAGGTTATTGATAATTGTGCAGATGAAGCTGATTTTGATGATAAGAATGGTGCAGTTTTTAAACCTCTTGTAAGTTTCAAATCATATTTATAATTTAGATTTGAAATCATGTATGATATGTTTTATAATTATAATACTTATATTTTTTTGATGTGAAATCATATATGATTTTCAGAAAAAGTTTTTTTTTGAAGTATCTAAAAGAGATCAATCATGTTAAAGCAAATGAGATGGCTGATAAAACTCTTACACCAGTAAGATTGATAATGTCATGGAGGACAGTTGATAACAAAGTGGATTTTGGTATTTTTGCTATGAGACATATGGAGAGTTATTTTGGAGAAAAAGGTTCTAAATGGAAATGTGGTCTTCCAAAAGAAGGTGGTTCTCAAGAAAAAATTCTGGAAAAGTTGAGAATGAAATATGCAGCAACAATTTTAACTTCTGAGATTAATACAAAGCGTGATGATGTGTTGAAAGCTGCATATGAGTATCAAAAAGTTGATCAAAATATTCGTGGTAAGCATGCATATGATGCTCAATGGAATATAGAAAGAAGGCTGTCGATTTTTTTTGATTGAATATTTTCTTGTTGATGATGTTATAAGAACAAGTTTGTTTATGTTGTGTATGTTATGGATATTGTGAAGAATTTTTGTTTTTATGATGATGGAAAACATAGTGATGGAAAACAAGTTAAATATTTATTTTGGTGGATTTTATTATGTAAGTTTGTTTGTGTGAATTATATCATTGAATGTTAATCATAAGTGATTATGTTATATTTTTATATGTAATTTATGTTTTTAGTATTGATTATATGTTGTTTATATGTAATCATTAGTGATTGTATCAATTATTTTTTTTTTCTGTTTTTTGTAATCATAAATGATTATATATGTTGTACATCACATTATAATTTATTATATATTTTTCTTGATAAGTGAGCTTATCTTTACTGCATGGAATACATCACCATGCAGAATCTTATCTTTGTAAGATTTTAGTTTTGTTTTTTAGTGTTTGTAGTGAAGAATCTTTTCTTTATAAATGAAAACTGATTGGGACAGCCATATAGTGTATTTTTGATAAGTGATTATGTTTGTATATAAGGGGTAGCCTCGTGCTACCCCTTATATTTCTTCAAAGATGAGTCATTATACTTTCAAATGGTTAGTTTTGTTTATTAATTTCATCAATTTTTATATATCACCATTACTTATTTATGATGTAAACAACGTCCATTTTGTTTCAGGTAAAATATGGAGTCTATAAGTCTAAAAGAACTAATTTTTCTGTATCTAATGACATGTTCCCCATTTTTTCAAGATTCTTGTTCTTTTATTTGTAGCTAGATTTTCATAGATATTGTAGCTGACTCCGAGAACGTCACTTCCGCCGTTACTTAAAAAGTTTATCTTCATTGAACATATCAGATCTTTACTAGATGTCTTTGAAGTAGAGGGATGTTGTTCATTTAAAGAAGATTTCTTTTTAATGAACAACATTTCTCTACATCAGATATGTAGTAAAGATTTTGTATGTTCAATGGAGATAATCTTTCTAAGTAATGGTGGAAGTGTTCTTGGAGTCAGCTACAATCTGTATGAAAATCTAGCTAGGAATATGAAGAACAAGAATCTTGGAAAATGGGGAACGTGATATTTGAGACTTGTGAAATTATTTGTTATTGAAGATTTTATCATGTGTGATGAAATTCTATGATGGGTGATTAGACTTTGATTTTCTAGATGGATATTGTTATGTTTATATTTTTTATGAACAGTGTTGTATATTTGTTAGGAACAATGTTGTTGTATATGGTTATATGTAATGAGTTTTGTAGTAGATCTTTGATGTTATTTATATGTAATCATATTTTCAATCACTTATAATTAAACAAAACATATGAAGTGGTATTACATAATCCTTTATGATTCATGTATTGAATAACAGTTAACAAATCACATAATTATTTTTATTTGTATAATCATAAATGATTATGTAATACCACTTCATATGTTTTGTTTAATCGGTTATATACCCTTGTAATCATAAAATACATAAAGTTACATGGAAGAAGGTTTAAGATAGAAAAAATTCAAGAAAACTGATTTGTTGTATTACTAATAAAATCAAAGAAAGAATTATCAAAGTAAATTCTGTTTTATAAAAAGAGTAAAGTGTACCAAACAAAAAGTATATTATTTAGAAAAAAAATCCTGAATTATTCATTACTGATTAAACTAGTAATTATCTATGTAAATTTTGATGATTGTTCTGCTGCAAGTTTTATTGGGCATGTACGCAAGTTATGAGGAGCCCTTTCTCCACAACCTGAGCATCTTCTTGTTTGCTTGTTTGAATTTTTATATGCTATTTCTGCTGCACTTTGAATTCTATTTTTCTTTCCACTTCCTTTTATTGCTTTCAACATTTGGAACATTGATGTCAATGTCTTTTGGAATAGAAATGTCCATAAACTTTCGTACCTCTTCAACATCTGTCCTATTTTTCTACAATTCATTTGTAGGATCGTTCTCGTATTCCTTCAACATGCTTTCTGTTTTCTTAACAAACAAATCCATTTTGTCTTTATTTTTTCTTACGTATTCCAAGCATGCTTCAAAGTTGTAGTATGCTTGATTGACAGATCTGTTAATTTCACTGTCTCCTGTATCATATACATGCCTACCAAAGTGATAATGCCTTGATATCACATCCTTTCTTCGACGATTCTCAATGTACTGTTCAAGTATTTCCTTAATTCCATGTTTCATGAGTATGTTGAGTGCATGTCTGCACAAAGTTCCAAAGCGGTTGAAGTGTTCACAAGTACATTTTACATCATTTATTGGAAGTTTTATTTCTACATGTTCAAAATAAAATTAAAGCATTAAGTGTTTTATAATTATAACTGAAAATTGTTGTATATTATGTTTTGATTCATCAAAACTTAAAATAAGAATATATTACCTCAAATTCTGTTTTTAGATCACTGTTTTTGTTCAATTGTTCCACTTTGTATAACTCCCATCCGTTTTTTGTTCCAATATGTTTGTATTGGTAGTGCCAAGAACCTTTGTAGATTTCTTTTTGTACTTCATAAAACAATGTACTTGTATAAACTTTTGTTGCATGTTTTTCTATTTAGTCGCGGTGAAATAAATTTATATGATGCCTTCTTTGTTTGATGATCAAGCTCCTTTTGTGTATTTCTTTGTTTTTGAATTGCTGTGTCATAGTTCATCATGAAATGTAAAAGTAAATTTTCAGAATGCGAGTAAGTGTTGAAGAAGGAATTCATGCTTTCTGATCTTGAAGTGGTTTTCATCAATCCAGACATTCTAGTGTCACTGAAGTATGCAGGTATCCATTTGTCACGTAATTCGAACATATCATTGAACCATCTTT